TGCTAAGTGTTCTGGGAAATGGAGCCACAAGGAATGCCTTGTGACATTTGCTCCCATTAGCAGATCATGAGACTGATGCCTAGAGCGCGCCACTCCCTAATCACCACCCTTGGAATTCCAAATTGCAACACTTAGATATTGCAACAGCCAGGGTCACGTGGTTTCCAGGAATCCAGGCTCTGTAATCTGAAACCCATTATGCTAATGAGGCATCCTACCCTCTATTCTGTGATAGGACACTAAGTGTATTATGCTAATAGGACGCTGTCTGTTATGCTAATAAGGGATCCTACTTACTGTGCCGTGATTGGACCACTACCCCTATATAAGCTTGTGCCTTCTTTAAAGCAGACATGTATCACTGAACCTGGTCTCCTGTGTCTGAATGCGGCTCCGGTGATACAGTCTCCTCACCAGCCCTGGGGTCTGGGACCAGGCAGAAGCAGTGATGAAAGAAGGTGGCACTGGGCAAACAGAAGCGCGGCCTCAGCACTGGGCAGGCAGAAGAGCAGCCTCAGCCTAGGGTGAGTGGAGGAGCAACCTCGATGCCTGTGAGAATGAAGGAGCAATGCCTGTGAGAACCGAGGAGCAGCTGCCACTGGTGGTGACTGCAGTAAAACATTAGCACCTTGTAATTGCTTAACTAAAATGCCAGATGTCTTACGATTTTTACTTAAAAAACCCTACTATCTCCCAGCTAGCGGCTGCATTCTCTAAATTGGTTCAGAGAGTGCAGTCACTGACCAAATAAATTTGGCTAATTTGGAACATTTGGAGTCTGAGTGGTCTTTCCCAGGTCTCTGCATCACAACAGTGTGAACAGAAAATCTGACTCAGCGTTCTAGGTGAACCAGTTTTGCACACCTGCTTCTGGACATACTTGGACATGAGATAGGAAAATGCCCTCTCTAGTTTGATATTTCTTGTCTTATTTTCTTTTATATTATTTCTTTCTTTCCCTACCCTTTCCCCTTCCTCTGTCCCCACTTTCCTTCTTCCTTTAAAAAATTTTTTTGAGACAGGATCTCACACTCTAATCCAGGTTGGTCCCAGACATGAGCAAGCCTTCTGCATTAGCTTCCTGAATGCTGGGATTATAAGCATGAGCTCCCTTGCTTCTGGTTTGATATTTCTATTTCTTACAGCTGAACACATCCTAATACATAGAACATAAATAAAGGTGACACACACAAACACATAAGATTCATTTTGTTTTCTTATTATAAAAGCAGCATAAGTTTATTTGGAGGTTTTGAATACATAGGCATCCACAAAGAATAGAAAAAATTTAAATTATCCAACATAGCTATGTTATTGTATTTACATGTATGATTTCTATGCATGTATTTTATATTATACACATTTACAAATGAAACTGATCAGGCCAGTCATGGTGGCACATGCTTTAATCTCAGTACTCAGGAGGCAGACACCAGTGGATCTCTGTGAGTTGGAGGCTAGGCTGGTAGCCTGGCCTACATAGTGAGTTCCAGACCAGCTGGGGCTGTAGGGAGACCCAGTCTCAAAAATACCGAAAAAAAAAAGAAAGAAAAAAGAGACTTGTATTTTTGCTTAATCATAAGAAATTAAAATTAGCTTGTATTTTCTTTTCTTTTTCTTTCTTCATATGGCAACATTTTATAGAAATTAAATCTCTAAGCACTGGATGAGTGTTTGTAGGCTATAGAGAAAAGTGAATTCTACAAAAAAATTCCTAACTACCATAAATATAACTTCTTTATGTCTACAATGTATGTTCTGAGATGAAGTCACTAAGAAATTCTTAACTTATGTTAATTTATACTCTTTGGAAGATAGTGTTTATAATACCCACTTTGTCATCCTGCACAGTATTCTTTTTTTTAACTATTGCATTTGTGTTTAAAACAAGCTGGAAATGAATTAATGAAATCTTTGTTCAATTTATTGTTCAGTTTTTAATCACTTTTCTAAACTGAATTGCTGAAAGAAATCTATTTTTTAACAAGTTGAATAGCTTAAATAAAAGAGAAAAATGAAAAATGAAGATAGACTCTAATTATGTAAATTATATTGGATTTACTCTGCAGAATATTTTATACAAAGAATCATCATCTTCTATTATAGTGTAATAAATGAATGTAATATCAGTTTTGAAATACTGAGTTGAATGATGTAGCTTTCATATATAGGCCACATTTAAAATCTGATTTGTGAATTTTAGTCTAGATCCATATTCATATTGTATATATGAACCACAATATTGATATAGAATTACTATGAATTTTCTAAAACATATTGAACCTAAAACAAGTTTCACAGTTTAAAAAAGAATGATTACATATTTTGAAGTAATACCATTTCTCTATTAACATTTTCATGCATGCATATGAACAAATAAATCTGGATACATTCAATTATTATAAATTTTCTTACAAATATACTAAATCAAGCTGGGATTATTAGCATTTTTATTCCTCTTTTGCCAGTCTGGTTTAGTTGATAAACTCTTTCTCTGGATAATGCTATTAAATGCCTACAGTAATAAAATAGAACTAGAGCAAACAAAAATATGTTGAAACATAGTTGCATTCATGTGCTATAAGTTAAAGATTTCCACATCCAGACTTTGAATAATTCTGTAGTAAATATATCTTTAAAAATACCCAAAGCAATACCTAAATACAAGTTTCTTGAACACATAGGAAACCAGCTGAGATATGTACATTAAACACATGTATAATAAAGCCCTTAGGTTTTACCTTGTACATGTATATTATTTTTGGCTTTAAATCCAGAGGTAAGGTCTATTATTATTATATTATTTTATTTTATTGTTTTTTTGGAGACAGGGTCTGTGTATAGACCCAGTTGGCCTGGGCCTTGATATGTACAACAGGCTGGCTGGACTTAATATCTCACAGACATCCAACTGCCTCTGCCTCCCAAGTGCTGGGATTACAGGCATGTACTACCATACCTGGAAGGTTTATTATCATTTTAAGAGTAAATATATGATAAAGATACTTGGAAACAATTGGCATTGTGACTCAGCTTTAACTGTGTCATCTATACAGTGTTGTTATGAGTACACAGGCCAACTTATGAGCACTTCATTCAGCACCCTGCAAATTTTGAGCCTCATCCAGCCAAGGATTGGTTAATTAAAAGAATGAGTAAAAAAGAAACTATGAAATAGAGAGAACAAGTTTAACAAAGAGAATAGGAAAATAGGGAGGGATAAAGCCCAAAGTATAAGACAAGAAATGCCATTAGTTAACAATTTGCTTTCCATAATTGCACATAACCTAGAGTATTTGCAAGTTTATTTTATTATTTCGTGTGTCATTACATTATTTATAGCGATATCAATTTTAAGATGCTAATTATTGAGTTTAAGTTCTTGTATGTTCCCAGTAATTCAGTATTATGCTTCTCTTATTTTCACTGCCTCCTATTTTTCATGAAAAATGTAGACATAGACCTGAATTAATGAAAGAAATGGCATTGGCAGGCATATTTGGAAAAAACTCTTTGTCATCAGTGGGTGTTAGGTGTTAGTTTCACACCCATTGCTTTACTATTCCTTTCTCTCCTATAATACTCTGTGCTTGAAGTGTAGAGACTGACCTGTTCTGAGTTCCTTTCATGTATCAAACCACTTCTTTCTCATGTGTTTGCTTGATTTTCAATTTGGCTTTTCTCAGTGATTTGTGGGTAATGGATTCAGAAGGATAAGGATATAGAAAACTGTCATATTATTAAAAACAGATGATATAGTATACTTACAAGATAGTATATGTCTTTCTTAATTGTATTTTTAAAACATTGTTAATGACAGTCTATTAACCCCATATCCACAGGGATATTCTAAACTATTCAAAACCTATCATATTTAAATACCCTCTTTCTATAGGGGCACTTCACAATCTACAGCATGTAAGTGGTATTAAATAGTCTGTATCATGTAAATAGTCTTGTTAGGCTGGTGGCCTTGGTTGATGAATAAAAACAAAAATGCTTTTCAAGCAAAAAAGTAAACTAGATCTTTTGGGTTTTGTTTTTAGATTTTCTTCTCTTTTTAATCACAGGAGTGAAAAACTGACCTATGGACAGCAATCCTATTATCATTATTCTTTAGGTGTTATTATAACATTAGATGTATTACTACTGATCCCTTTCTGAGAAAAACTCTCCAAACCAAGTTGAGGCTAATTTTAGTTTCTCAGCCATACTTTTCAGTATCTTTTTTCCCCCCTTAATCTGCGGTTATTTTAAATATTTATACATCATTATATAAGTTGGAGCGAAAATAAGCCCAATTCATGTACACTAGGAGGTCAGAAAAGGCAAAGATTAGTTTATGATTAAGAAAAAAATTCAGGGCTGGGGAGATGGCTTAGCGATTACAGCACTGACTGCTCTTGCGGAGAACCTGGGTTCGGTTCCAAGCACCCGCAAGGTGGCTAACAACCATCTCTATGTAACTCTAGTTCTAGAGGACTGTTACCTTCTTTCACATCCCTGGGTATTGCATCACACAGGTGCACTTACATACATGCAGCAAAACACTCATACACATTTAAAATACAAATAAATAAAATTAACAAAAAAAGAAAAAATTTCAATATTTTTTCCTGAAAGTTTTTTTCCCTTTTGATTGAGGCTCTGGCAAAGTTTCTAAAAGAATAAGGATGAAACATAAACTTAAGTTCTGCCTGCTTGCAAGAAAATATGTTTCAAGCTTTGAGCTAATTATCCTCAAATGGAGAAATCTGTTGCCTCACCTTTCTTTTTTTACAGTATATATTTTTATTTAACTTTTGTGAATTTGATACAATATATTTTAATCATATTTAGATCCCCTCCCCTCTTTGCACCCCATAACTCCTTCCCTACTGGATTTCATGTATTCTGTCATATATGTGAAGGCCTTTCAAGTCAAGTTTGCAGCCCCAGATGTCCCTTGGTGTGAATTTATCCACTGGAGCCTGGTCAGTGAAAATGTTTCTAGTAGTATATCCTGTGTAGTCCACCAATTACTGAGAGAAATATCCATATATCAATGGGTCAAAGCATGGGTTTAAAAAAGCAAAGAGAAAGAAGAAATGGTTTACTGGATCTGACACTTTGTTTAACATTTGAGGATCAAACCAGTACCAAATTCCCAGGACATAGTAAGGAGTCCAGCAGACAATAAATGAGGTGGCAAATGCAACTGTCATCTTCAGCGTCCTCAGCCGTGCTCTTGGGATATTGTTCTTGGATCGACTCAGTTGTAGTTCTATCAGATAGAGAAAAGGGTAGATGTTTAAAGACAGCTTTCTCACAAAAACAAAATGGTCAAAATGGAAGAATTACTAATTAATCTATTGAATATGAGATAAATTTCCAATAATGACAGTTTACCTACAAATATTCCCATCCTACCTCCCACTGGATGTGGTGGTGCTTGTTTGTAATAAGAGCTCTAAGTGAACTAAGGCAGAAGGATCATGAGTTTAAGCCCCACCCGGGCCACATAGTGAAACTGTCTCAGCAAATAAATAGACAAATTTTTATACTAAACTTTCCTCTAGAACAGATTAAAGACCACAATGCTCTTAAAATTAAATTTCCATTAAGCCAACGAGGATTTGAAATAGAGAGGGAATCACGCAATGAAAATATAAACTTAGGAAAGTAGACAGGTTGAAATAAGTTGAATTCTGACTTTGCACAGAATTATATTTATTGGGTGTCTCACTTAGGATAGTAAGAAGTGTGTGGGGTTAAGTGCATTGCTCCAAATTATCTATTCCAACTGTATATTTCTTTCTGTGATACAGGAAATGATTTTATTTTTTATATCAATAGTCCTCTAAAGTTCATACATAGTCATTCTTGTGAAGAAATTTGTTGAAATCTAAAGAATTTCTCACTTCAATATCAGGCTATCTCTCTGAACTTAAGGATGTAGGCCGATAGTTAAAAAGCAAGTTTCAAGTTCTCCTCAAATACTGAGGAAACTGATAATAATATACAGAAATAATCACTTTGCAATTATTTTTCATTGTTCACTATGGAGTGGTGTTTTGATTAAAGGTTATTTTTTTCAAGAAATGTTAAAATACATAATTAATGCACATGTCTTTACAGGGTATGAATTTTAATGAAACAAAAATAATTACCATTTACTATGTGCCTTGCTATGAGCCTTGCTCTTTTTATACATTATTTCATTTAATCCTCAGTATCTGTAAATGTGAGAGACATATAAGTATAAAGCAAACAGTAGAAGCAAATATATTTTAAAATTACATTTGGCTTGGCACAGTAACTGATTATGAAAAAATATGTATATATATATATATTATGCATCAGCCTATTTTGAAATATCATCACATTTACTGGCTTATTCTTTGAATTTTCTCTTAGACTATAGACTACATGAAAGCTTTCATATTTCTGCACAGTAGCTGGTACTTGGGATTAATTTCTGTTTCAACTTTGTTTTGAGATAATTGATTAAAGGAGTGCATCACCACATCCAGCCACCCATGGATGTAAGTGACCATGCGATGCCTATGGAGGTCAGAAGAGGGTAGCAGAGTCCCTGGAACTGGAGTTACAGATGATTGTTAACTGCCATGTGGGTGTTGGGAACTGAATTGGAGTCCTCCGGAAGAGCAGCCAGTGCTTTTAACCTCTAAGACATCTCTCTAGTCCCCATAAGTTTCTGGTTAAAATAGTTAATCATATATTTAACAACATTTGGCACACAAATACACACAAAACATAGCAAGCATACATAAATATGTAAATTTCATGTTGTATGAGCCAAAGTGCAGAGAATAAGGGTCCAGAAACATCTTGGAAGAGGGGGCAGAAAGATTGCAAAAGCCAGAGGTTGGGGAGAACTGAGTGAAATGGTGTCTTCTGGACATGACAGGACCACTGCATTCATGAACTCACAGCAGCTGTGGTTGCTTGTGTAAGACCTGTACAGGATCAAGCCAGTCAACATTTCAGCATGGGTGGGAGAAGGGCACATGAGTCCCCATTCCTAGGTAAGGCGCTGTGTACCCTTAATGGCTGCTTGGGGAGGGAGAGTTAGTTTTCTTTAGGTGTGTGGTCCCTGGTAGGTTGACTGTGCACTAGTGAATATCCACTAACCATGTGCATATGACCAACACTAATTAGACTCGGTAGGTTATTTTAAAAAAAGAAAGAAAAATAAAGGACATGAAATCCGGAAGTGGATGTGTGTGAGAGAAATCTGAGAGAAGTTGGGGCTTAGTGAGGGGTGAATATGATTTAAATACATTGTATACATGTATCAAATTCTCAAAGAATAAATAAAAATACATTAAAAATTTAAGAACACCCTCTTCAATCTTAAAAGAAGCTCACGTTACATGGATGCAAGAGATTTTAATGTGAAACAAAACAGTTTAGCAGGTCTGCTCACTAGCATGCATAAGGTTGTTTGCTGTGTTCTAGATATCAGGTGTTTGGTGTATTAGTTCCACAAGAACAAATTTCTAATGTTTATCCTGAGTTTTAATAGGACAATTGTCATTTCTTCTTTTTACAATGTTTTTATTTGCATATATTAATTATACATAATAATGGTTTCATGGTGACATTTTTAACATGCATGTAATTTACTTTGATCATATTTACCCTTCTCCCTCTAGCTCTCTTGTCCCTCTCCCACTCCCACTGTTCCTCTTCCTTCTCCCAACTAATCCCCTTTCTACTTTCATGCCTTTGTTTGGGGGGGGTGACCTAATGAATTTCATTAAGGTTGCTTACAAGAGGATGGATGAGGGGTCGTTCACAAAAGTATGGGCACCTTATGGAGTAGTTACACCACTGAAGAATATAACTCTGTTTCCCACGAACTATTAACTGCATAAATCCTTGAGGAGGTGTGGAGTCTCATGAACCTCTCTCCATTTTTTCTTCTTTTATCCCATGTTGCAAATTTAGAACATTAGATGCCATTGATACATCTCATTTATAAATAGAGGGTATAATGAAAACATTATTTCATGGGATGTTTGTGAGTGATTAGATGAACTGATACTGTGAACTGCGTGTCTAACACACTGCCACTCCGTGCCACCTGTGCTGCTCTGCCTTAGTGTTGCTGTTTAAATATTGTTTTTCCACAGTCATTAGTAAATGTAAGCACCACGTACTGTGGGGATCTTGATGAAGGACCCGCGTCAGGGTGAAGATGATTCTGGTGTTGCATATCAGCATGATGAGAAGAGGGATAATGAAGAGGCAGCTGAAGGTGAAGAAGTTGTAAAAGGCTTGATGCCACCATTGTGGAAAACTGCAGTGTGTTACACATTGGGAGAAAACTTCTGTCTGCCCAGAACCATCTACTAGGTAGATCATCCTGAAGATATACAACTGTGATAAAGAAGAAAAAAGTTATGCTACTTTTGAACAGTATTTGAAAGCATTCCCTCATTTATTAATAATTTTATCATGAATTCATTAACAACTATTAAATTTATTAATGATATTAATACATTTATTAACAATTATTTTCTACTCTTCTTACCTACAGCAATTCTAAACTCTTAGGCCTTATATTTTGACATTTCTATGAAAACTTGTAAGTAATGTTTACTTCAGCTACTTTTGGTTCAGTGTAAATGAAATGATGGGATTTTTTATTTTGGGGGAAATTTCAACCTTGCAGAGTAATCATCACTCAAGGATTCAACCCTCACTTGCACATTGACTTCTACCCACATTTATGCTGGCCAGGTTTTTGAACGTGATTTTGTACACACTGTATCCAGGGTGTATAAAACTGTGCCTGGCACTTAGAACATATCCTTAAACATACACATTAAAATTAATTTTTGACATTGAAAGGCCTATTAACATGACATACTTTAAAAAGTGGTCAAAAGATGTGCAGAGTTTACAGGCCCTTAGACATAATGAAATTAGGTAGAAAATAGACATGAGCAGCGAAGCTGCGGGAGGGGTTTGTAGAGCACAGCCCAAGCCCCATTCCTATTTGGGATAGCTGAAGCGTTGTTATAAAACACTGACACAAGATTTCAAAGTAAAACTTCAGTTTTAATAAAAAAAAAAGTCTTAACCAACTGATAGCCAGCATGTCACTACTGAATGGGACCGTGAACATTCTCAAAAAAGGAATTAGACATGAGGGAACTAAGAAAACTAAAATTGTTTCTTGGTAGCTGGATCTCTCGAGGGTAAGAATGCCCCTTTGTGCCTAATTATCCTTGAGGCTGCAGTCAGCTTGCTCCCATTATATCAAAAACTAAGGTGCTGGAGCATGTGCACACGTGTGCACTAAGGAAGCACCTGCATTCTTAAAAAACCTCAGCTTTACAACCGTATCACTCACATTGTGGTTTTGACACCCGTTGCCCTTTTCTAGAGGACCCTGGGCTTTTCAAGAGTTCTAGAGGCTCATGGGAAGAAATACCCTAAAAGTATTACTTGGTAAGAAAAAAGGTTACTATACTCCACAAATATGCTACCCACCTCGTATTCATAAAACAGTAAAGTTCACAATATAGAGCTCATTGCTGCTAGCCCTTTGGAGACAGCTTGCTCCATTTTCTTTGGAGTGCTTGCTTGCTTTTCTTTGCTTGGTTAAATAAACCTCTGCCTAAACTTTCAGTATCTCTTGACTGAATTCTTTCCTCCGTGAAAAGAAACTGAGAAGACCCCCTCAACAGCAATAGTATGTTCACTTTATTCATAAAAGAAGAAATGTCAATTAAGTTACACTGAAATGAATTTTCACAAATGAAACTGACAAAAATTAAAAAGTATAGCAGTACATTCATTTGGAAAGGTCTTGATGAAACCAACACCTTTGTGAGTTGCTAGTGGAAATGCAAATTGATTCCACCACTTGGAGAGAAATTTTCAGTTGCTTGCAGAGCTGTAAATGTAATGATTAATCTTGGTTGACTGGGTTGAGAGAGGCCTAGAAAACTGATCAAGCGTACTTCCCCATGTGTCTGCAAAGGTGCTCCCATGGATGATTTGTACGTGAGTCCGAGTGTAGACAGTACTGCCCAATAGTCTTAGAGCTCACATGGAGCCACAAGTGAAAGAAGAGGGAAGCTTGCATGCCCACTTTGCGCCACACTTCTTGCATTTATTGTTGCTGCCATTGCCAGACAGCAGACTCCAGATTCATCAGCTTGAGAATGAGCTTCTATAGTAGCATGAATCCAGTCAGCTTCCAGTCCTTCAGCCTCAGACTGGGGCTGTTCCACTGGTCCCTATTGTTTTGAGCTTTCCAACTTATTGGTTTCTCTGGCTTTTCTGAAGGTTGTGGAATTATCCAGCCTTTGATCGTGTAAGCCAATCTAATAAACACCCACTTCCTATTCTGTATATAATCTATTGGCTCTGCTCCTCTAGAGAAATCTAATACAGTATCTGCCTTTGGTCATCATCAAATTTGACATCCTGGAATTTACCCTGAGCATACACCCATAACCCTATTACATAGGAATGCACATGCAGGTGATTATTCAATGATAATATATCATTTGTAATAAATGATAGTTTTCAGAACAGTGACTGAATGAATTATGGGAGATCAAACAATGGAGTGGTGCTACACAGAAATAAAATAGTAAGAACATATGTCTGTGTGTGTATGCACATTTTTATACATGTATTTATTTTCTAGCTCTGCCCATGTAGAGAGCCTGGATATAAAGACACCTTATCAGTAATGAGTATGTATTGCATCCTGGTGCCTGACTCTTGGTTTCTAAATTCCATTCTCTACCAAAAGGACCCGAGGTAATTTGAGAAGCAGGTAGTTCTAAGACTGAGACAGATAAAGTATCATACATTCATCAATTGACTTGTGACAGGGTAAGGAAGCACTCAGAAAATGACAGAGTGTGAAAGAGAACCTAAGATCTAACTGGCTATAACTGAGATAGCTTAATAATTAAAATGCAAGAAACAAACTTATAAAGAGTATGGGAATAACTTTTATTAATGCACATATCTGGACTAATACCTTCTAATTAACCCAGCAAAACCAAGCATTTTTGGGTCTGATGACCAGGCATCTCCTTCGCAACCTCAGTTTGGTACTCTACCCCAAAAGGTAATGAATGAATCTGGGTATGCTTGAGAATTAACGTATCAAAGCGCTACAAGCAGCACATCTGCTCATCTCCACACAGTGGAAGTTGGGAAGGATGTGTGATCTTAGACGAGAGGCAGCTAGGGACGGAAAGACCCGATGATTTGTGAAGATTAAGGATGGAGCCAAACTTGAACTTGTACTTCCCCCAATGAAGCTAGAGAAACCATTTTGATGAGGTGGGACATATGGGAGTTAGTGAGAGAAAGTGTTCCAGAGAAAGTTCCATTGGCACATAGCAAGGACACAGAAAGCACCATCTGCATAGGTTGAAGCAACAAGAGAAATCCATAGGCACAGTCTGGGAGACAGATAGTTCTAATAGATAGTTAGGGGAGCTAGTGTCCTCCAAGTTTGGGGCCAGTCTTAAAAACTTAAGAGTCAATTTATTTGTTCAGGTGATTATGATGTTGGTGTAATGGTAAACTATTGAATAAAACAAGAATCCATGAATCCTCACTGATATAAATTACATGACCACACACAAATTGGCAGAGGCAACAACTTTTCTTTAATATGGAGTATTAACCAATAAAAAAGGAAAATGCAAAATAGAGTAATTGGTTAATATTTACTAATCACTATAACAGTAATTGATTTAATCAAAAATCACTAATGGCTGGAAAAATAATTAGTGGAAGTTTGAGAACAGAACATTTACAAAATATCAAAGTTTATACCTGCTAGATACATACTATCATAAAGAGTAAAGCAATAATTTTATAGAAGAGAAATAGGCAAATAATAACACTATAGATAATGGGACCAATTGACAGCATCTGCTTCCTTGATCATGCAATGAGAAGAACCCAGCATCACCTCTTCAGTGTGTTTGCTTAAGATGTAGAACCTGAATCTAACCACGAGAAAACCTCAGACAACCTAAATCAAGGGTCAGTTTGCAAATGACCCAGGCAACAAACACATCAATCTTATGAAGCACAAAGAAGACAGGAATAACGGTTCCAACTCAAAGGAAATTTAGGAGAAAGTGATGGAACCCACCCACCACATAATCTTGGATCTTCTTTTGTTAAAAGGGCAAAAATTGAACTCAGACAAACTGGTAAAATCTGAATCGGGCATATAGATTGGGTAATAGCATCCTGTCAATGCTAGTTTTTCCTGATTTTGCTAGTTACCATTGAGACTGTATATGAGAATTCCTAAGTGCATTGAAATTTGGACTGATTAAGAGATGACTCCAACTTTTTATTTTATTTTATTATTATTATTTTTATGTGTGTGAATGTATTCGCATGTGTGTAAGTGCACCTATGTCATGCAATGCCTGTGGAGGTCAGCAAAAGGCATTGGATCCCTTGGAAATAGAGTTATGGATGGTTGTTAGCTGCCATGTGGGTGCTGGGAATCAAACAGGGGTTATAACTCATGAAAGTGTCCCCTTTCCTTAGTTTTCTTTTTTTAATATTTTATTTATTATTTTTATTTTATGTGTATGAGTAATGCCTGCATGTAGGTAGGGTGCATCTGTGTGGTGCAATGCCTATGAAGGTCAGAAGAGGATGTTGGATCCCCTGGAACTGGAGTTACACACGGTTGTCAGCCACCATGTGGGTGCTGGGAATCGAACCTGGGTCCTCTGTAAGAGCAGTCAGTGCTTTTAACCACTGAGTCATCTCTCCAGCCCCATCTCCAACTGTTAAAACCAATAAAAAATATTTAAGAGATAAGAAAGCAAATAAAAAATGCTAATATTTGGTGATCTACAAGTGAAAGTCATTCAAATCTTTGTATAATTCTTGCAAGCTTACACTGAGTATGGAATCATGTTTAAAAATGACTTCTGTATTCTAAAACTTTAATATTATATTTATCATGTTTTAGTTTTATGTATATGAATGTATTGCCTGTATTTACATAAGTGCACCCATGTCATGCAATGCCCTTGGAGGTTAGAGAGGGCTTCCTGATTCACTGGAGTTATGGATGGTTGTTAGCTGTCATAGGGTGCTCAGAACTGAACCCAGGTCCTCTTGCAAGAGCAGTGAGTGATCTTAACCCTTAACCTAGTATTCTAAAAAGCAGAAATTGAATTGAATCTTTTTTTTTTTGGTCTTTTTGAGACACGTAGCCCCAGCTGGCCTGGAACTCACTATAGACCAGGCTGGCCATAATCTCACAGAGATTCATTTGCCTCTGCTTCCCGAGTGCTGGGATTAAAGGCGTGTGCCATCACACCTGGTTTTGAATCTATTCTTAATGAAATATTGTAAGTCAT